TATATAATAATTTTTACTTGAGAATATCTCTTGAAAGATTTCATATTTTCTTCATGTTTCTAGGAACTCCTTTGCTCCAACTATATATACACAACATTTCTGATACCGAATAAGTTCGTAAAGAGTATTCAGGCCTAATTCATGTCCTGGAATTTTCATAAAGATGCAAGTAGACGTCCTTGCCACAATACATGAGGATAAAGTTTAAGATTGTTGCAATGACATTGAGTTTTGACATGACCATGCAAGTGAGGAAGTAGTACACAGACCTTTCACACTTCAATGTATCATCAACATTGAGAAAGCCTGTAAATAATTTTCTCCCTGAAATGAAGAACTGTGAGTTAAGTTTGGATTGTGAATTGCGACTTGCTTATCCGCTTCTCAATCATATATGCCACACCTATGACCTATTTTAAGTGTAACTTAATTATACTAGGGTTAAGGAACACTTGATTTAATTATACTAGGTGTCATATTTGCTTATCATTATCATAACCCTAGTAATAGTATAATTAAGGAGACAGGCCTTGAGTCTATTGGGCTTCACCCGCATAATCTCTAAGGTTCGGCTCCCCGGCGCATCATTTTAACGGGCCTCTTTTGTTGGATTTTCCCGGCCTAATATATTGTGGGGCGGCCCGAATAAAAATCCCCGTCAGATCCCATCGAACGATCCAAAACGAACCCAAATCTCCCGCCATATATAAATCCCTAACTTTCTGCCATTCTGCCGTCACGCCGCTGCCGCCACCGAACAGCTGCGATACCAATCGACACAAAGAACCGAGAAATCCCATCCGCCCGAAGAGAGCTCGCCGGAGAGATGGATCCAGATACAGTGGCGAAGGCGTTCGTCGAACACTACTACTCGACCTTCGACACGAATCGGGCCGGGCTCGTTGGGTTGTACCAGGATGGTTCCATGTTGACGTTCGAGGGGCAGAAGATTCAGGGGGCGCAGAACATCGCCGCCAAGCTCACGAGCCTTCCTTTTGAGCAGTGCAAGCACTCCATCACCACCGTCGATTGCCAGCCTTCGGGACCCGCTGGCGGGATGGTCGTGTTTGTCAGCGGGAATCTGCAATTGGCAGGAGAGCAGCACCCGCTCAAGTTCAGTCAGGTAGTCTGAGTCTCTCGTCGAATTGCTTGCCTGCTCCTAATTGAAGTCCCGCTTTTTCCCTTTCTCATTTGGGGTTGTTTGTTCTTCGAATCGGTGCTTGTATTGGACTATCAGTATGGTTCCACTGGGATGGCGCTTTTGGATTTTGCCTGTTGCTTGTATGATCTGGGAGTGAGATACCTAACTTGTTTCAGCAAGTGCAGTTTAGTTTAATAGATGGAAAGAATGGAACATCCACCCTTAGAGCTCTAGTTTCCCTTCCAGAAGAAAAGGGTCGATTCCTCAATGGTTGCATCATGGGGGGAATGTGGCTACTTTGGACATAGTGGTATACTTGAGAGAAAAATGCTGGGATTTGGAGTACTGGTCTCAATGGATTCAAAGTAGGGAAGTGGAAGCTTTTGAATATGTTTGCTAGGATATTCCTAGATGAGCTGGTCTGTTCATTAGAGATTTATGACAGCTGATCAATTGCTGGTCAGTGATGACCACATTATGCATAGCCTCTATGCACGCTGCATTGCATATGTCTACTTGATTCTGGAGCGTGGTGGATGGTACAATGTTAAGTTTGTAAAGATTGAGCACTAATAAGTAGACTAGGCTATTTCTACAACTCTCACATAACCTACTTTTCTTGCCTGTTTATAAAATTATCCTATGGGTGAGAAGCTATGATTATCTTGAACAAAATGTAACATCTGGTTAACAAGCTATGATTATTTTAGGAGCATGTAGCTACTAGATAGAAAGGTGATGTATGCTTTAGGTTCATAGAACCTCTGAGAGTTTGTCATTACTTCATTGGCATTCTGCAAACTGCTACATTGATTTAGACATCGATTTCAATGGAACTGCTTAGTATGACTCATGTATATGCACTTGGATCGAATAATGTGGCTATTGTTTTCTTATTTCTTGTTCGAAGTTGGAACATGAAACATCCTACCAGAGTTCCTGCTTTATTTCTATCTGTTAACTGTTTGTGAACGTGTCCTGCTGCAGATGTTTCACTTGATGCCAACTCAAGGAAGTTTCTTTGTGTTCAACGATATCTTCCGTTTGAACTACGCATGAAGACAATGAAAGATCCCTTACGTAAGACGAGATTCCTGTTATTATGGATTGTGGTCATCTTTTGCTTGAAGACAAGAGAATGGTGTATTTGCTTCCGTTTCCGCCTTCAAATGTTGTTTTTGTTTAATTTTCAATCCACCATGGAACTTTAGCTGGTTTGGATTTTGGTATGCAGATTTGATGATACTTGATAGAATTGTAAAAGCCATTGTACTATCCCCTCTGAAACGGTTGGCTTTTAAGCTGGAAGAGTAGATGTACGTGGAATATTGTTTTCTTCTTGTTCTACTTGTGGAGAGTGGCTAAATGGGTTTCTTTATTCTCCCTTTTGTCTTGCCTTAAGAGGTTTATCTTGGTGAGCTCGTTGTGAAGCTTGAAAATTATAGCTATTTAGTGACATTGTTTAGCTGAGTGAATTTGTTTAGAGAAAGTGGAAAAGAAACAGAATTTGTCTTATGTAGGAGGAATTTTACAATGTTTTAAGGCATTGGTTCTTTAGTTTTGTTTTTATGGTATAATTTAAAGTTGTATTTTTAATGTTACAATATAATTTTAGGTTGTATCTATACTCTTTAGTAAAATTCCTTCATGGTACAAACCAAAGTTGTAACTTATGTTATGGTATAATTTGAAGTTGTACTGGAACATAAAGATCAAATTCCCTTATGGTACAATTTCAATTTGTACATTTAACTTTATGGTACAAATTCAAGTTGTACTTTAAAGCACAAATACTTTAAAGCATAGTAAAATTTACATGATGGTAGATGGCATGCATATCAAGAGTTACGAACATAAGGATTAGCCAGGACATTTGTTGATGTACCTTTGGAACATTTGAGAGTCAAATTTACATGTCAAACAAGCAAGTCTCTATAGTATAATAGTAATTATTTATGCTTTGTTATATATGTGACACGAGTTTGATCTCCGACAACAATAAATTATGTTTTTATTTTATTCTTACAAAGTAACTATAAATTATACAAACTGATAACCGAACTCTAAAACAGAGAAGAAATTCATAGTCACTTTTTGCTACACAGGTGGAGTAATCATGGAGACGATCTAGAGATGGAGGAATGGTACATTAGGATTTCCATGTCATAAGCAAAGAGAAAGAAAAGATACTTTGATTGCTCCTTTCTACAGACTGCCAACCACAAAGGAAGCAGTTCCACAAATTTTCCTTTTCCTCGTCCTATTCCTACCTCATTCTCTATTTTTTTTTTCCTTAAAGCAAGGGGTGATCCATTAATAACATTGGTTGGAACACAAGATAATCATGTAATTAGTAAAATATAGAAATTGAGCATGCAATCAAAAGTAAGATTGAAATGTAATGAAGCGAGAGTCCAATCAATTGATTTATATTTCGTTTTTCGCATCATGCACAACTATTTTAAATACCTCCGGATTACAGATCTTTTCGATAAAACAACATCCTTGTTTCCCTTTTTACTCTTCTACCTTTATCAGCATTTCATTAACATTAGGAAGTTTGGACCCATAGTAGTGCATGTGCTTTTGAGCATTTCATAAGGTGGTACAGAAAAAAAGTATGAAACACAATTGCTTGATACCCTCACCTTTCTTTCCTCTTTTCCCCTTTCCCTAACCTTCAATCTTTGTCTCTTCTCTTATGAGCCTCATCATCATCCTCTAATAAACCAAACTTTCTCAACCCATTTATAAACCCCCACATAACTTCATCCTAGAGAAAGTGAACAGAGGGCAACTCAATACCAGAAGAAGAAGAAGAAGGAAACAAGAAAATTCTACAAAAGGAAAGGGAAGGGAATGGAAAAAATGATTGACTGGGGGCCAGTGTTCATTGCAGTGATGCTGTTCATAATCCTAACACCAGGCTTGCTGATCCAGCTCCCTGGCAATGCCAGATATGTGGAGTTCAGCAACTTCCAGACCAGTGGGGCTTCAGTTCTGGTTCATGCCGTTCTTTACTTCTGTTTTATGTGCATTTTCTTGCTGGCTGCTAGTATCCATATGTATATAGGTGCTTGATCATTTGGTTAAGCTAAGTACTTCCCATTAATGCTGGTTTTGGTATTGTTTTGGCTTCATTCATTACAGATTGACATGGGGGAAAGAATGAGAACCCCTTTCTCTCAATTGGCATTTTCTGATGTGTTTTCTTTTCGTTTGGTGCAAGTTAAACATTTTGTTTGTATACAAGAATTTAGAGTTGTAAGGTAAAAAGAATGATGCTCTTGATTGTAAATCTTGAATTTAGTGTGAAGTGTGTACATTTGGTGGTTGTTGAGATAATTGTTTCAATCTTTGCCAATTATGGTATCAATTCATTTCAATCCTTAGGATTTTATGCTAGGAAGTTAAGAGAATTAAAGTTATATCGATGCACTCCCACACTAAGTAAGAAGGAGAGGACGGATATGATCAAGTTTGACAACCAAAACCAGATCAATCAATGTTTGAATTCTAATTAAAAAGCTCTATGAATGATCAGTTCATTTGAGCATGTAAAAGATTGTCAATTGTTCCATCAATGGAACTCTATGCTATATAAGAATTATGAGAATTGAACTTAGGATCGAATCCATTCAAACACATATTTTCAAGAGTCTCTCGAGTATCGCTAGTCTACTAATCTAATCCGTAAAAGATTGTTCCATATGCTTGACAAGAGTTACAGGACATAAACTTACAAGGCATAAAGAGCAAAGAAATAACACCAATATAAGAATCCAAAATCCTTCAACAAAATCAAGGGGAGTGGGAACATCTTCTTCTCTATATGACTACTGCCACTATTACTACTAACTTAGGCATAGAGGTGAGCATTGAGAACAACAAGGAACAAAATGAGCAGCAGACCATATATGAGCCAGTGAACGAACATGGAAGGGAAACTTGTCTTCATGTTCATGAAATCCACTGGCCTATGCTTCCCAGGGATCTGAAGCAGCAATCCAGGTTGCAGGAATGCAAACAAAGCTGCTGCTATTAGAGGTGCTGCCCAGTCATGCATCTTTTAAACCTCTCAAGAGCTGAAGAACCAAACTGAAGTAGAAGACAGAAGTTGAAGTAGAAGAAAAGGTAAAACTAAGGCTGAAGAATGAAAGACTATAGAGTATATTTATGAGGACTTGACCTTTTCTTGGGTTTGTGCTCTTTCCAAATAAAAGCACTGATTGTGGGCAAGCAGCCAATAAAACCATAAGAAATTGGTGAATGGAATATGATTCCCCATGAAACAAGGGATTGAGACTTTTTATCATGTGCATTTTCAAGAGGCAAAAGGACATATTGTTATTCCCAATTCTTTGATTATGTATTCATTTCCTAACCCATTCTTGGCCCCTTGAGAATTGAGATGATCAAATATTAGGGAGACTTTGATCAGACATGCCATGTGTGTATCAGTATGGTTGGTCAGTTTATAGTGTAATGGCTACATCATTACCTACCATTATTATTTCGACATCATTAAAGTCAAGAACTTTACTATAGAAAGAGGAGTGGAGGAAGAAAGAACAAAGGAATTACTGATCAGTCAAAGGAGATGGAATGAGGGAAAAGAGTGATGATGGTTAGTAGGCCACCCAACTACTGCTGCTGCTGCTGCCTCTCCTTTGCTGCTTATGAGTGCTAAGCTGTGGTGGCATTCTTTCTATTTGCTGATTTTAGTATGCTGTTCTTTCATCCTTCGAATCACATTTGTTTAAAGATAGGTTTATCTGACACCTTTTCTTTTGTTTCAACTATTGCTTTTGCATCACCCAACAACACATCATCCAAATGTAATTGGAAGGATAATATTGTCGGTTGATCATTTGTCTCATTTTCTACAGATTTGGTTCATATATTTTCCTGATAAATTATCTGAGCAAATAATTTTAGCTTACTAGGATGCCTTTCCCTATGTTTTGTAAGAGCATTAAGTGAGGATGATTGTTTGATTATCCAACATGATTTTTTTGATAAGGGACTATCCAACATGATTGGAAGGTTATTGGCAAATGACAACATGACTTTACATTCCTCTACAAGCATCCATAAACCCCCCGCACAAACCGGTTGAGAAATCTCCAATTTGGATGGCGAGAAGAAGAAAGCTGCAGGCTTGGTCTCTTGTGGGTCTTTGGACCACTAACAATTTCTGGCCTGGAACCTCTATAACATGGCTCAGATGGGTTCCTCATCACTAGGGACTTTTGCTTTCAATATGAGATAAAAACTACACCTACTTGATCAGTTGATCCCCATTAGTCTTAGTCTTAGTCTGCTAAACATTGAAATAGCATATTCTACATGACAATTTGATGGGTAAACGCCGTTAATATATGACAAGTTATACGCTGAATTCACTAAACCTTTATATAACATTTATAATGGTAACTTGGTGGTAGAATGACTCATGTCAACCAAACAAAAAACTTTATATTTTTGTTAAATCGAAATTGATAACATGATGAATTATTTTTTTTATAAAAAGAGTTTGATAATTTAATTGTGCATAAATAAATTTATGAGTATCCAATGCAACTCATATAAACATTTTGATGACTATTTTGATATTTAAGCTGATTCTTTGCTTCATCCTTGCAATAATCAGACTATAAGAGCATAACCAAGCCATTTAGCAAGTTAACCAATAATTAAACACAGTCCACAGAACAAATTTGAGGGGAAATCTCCTCGCCAGTGCTTCCACGACATATTCCCTTTTCCCCTGACCGACTCAAGTTCCCATAACATAATTTTCTCTCTAGTGTCTAATTCAAAGGAATCCCCTTCTCATTTTTCTCCTGACTTCCATCCTTATCAACTGACAGTTACTCGCCGCTTCATTCTTAACTCCTAAGCTAAACCTCCTTTGCCTCTTCTTCTCTTTGCTTCTTCAGTTCTTCCTCTCCGTTTCATTCATTTCCAAGCCTTTTCCTTTCCTCTGCAATGACTGACTGGGGCCCGATCTTGGTAGGAGTAGTCCTATTCGTGCTACTCACACCAGGGCTTCTCTTCCAGCTACCAGGAAACAACAGGCAGCTCGAGTTTGGGAGCATGAAGACCAATGGCAAATCGATCGCCGTTCACACTCTCATCTTCTTCACTCTGTATGCTATCTTTACCATGGCTGTTCATGTCCACATCTATACTGGTTGACACAAATCTGGCCATCTGGGGTTCTGGGTTTTGAGTAAAGATCTGTGCTTTCTTCTCTTTTTTGGGGTATGATTATTGGCAAATTTGTTGGGGGTAGAGAAAAGCGGAAAAATGTTCTGTCTTTATGTTCTGCTTATGTTGTTCTAACCTGTAATGTATGGATAGACGCTTGGAAGAGTTGAATAAAGCAAATATGGAGAAGAGACCTTCTCTCATCTGTTTCTCCTTTTCAGTTTCTGTATCAGATTGTGTTCCCTTTACTTGCTCTTCCGGTTTGACTAAGACTGAAGTTGGGATATTTGAGTTAATTGGAACTATCATTTTCGAAGTCAGTTTAGTTCAATTCTTGAGGAGTTCTTTCTGTTTATGTGGACAAATATAGCATAGAGAGAGCAATACTGAATCTGCAGCTATTTGAGAATTAGAGTCAAAACTTTTGCAGGCATATAGAGTGAAACAAGCACCAATTAAGATCTAAGGTTACTTTTATTGGGAAATGAGATATGAGATCTGCTAATGCCAAGGGCCATTAGCACCAAACTAAAGTTAAAATATGAACATCTTAGATCCACATAGACCATAAAATTTGCTTAGTAGGTAAAAAAGGCTGAGCATTGTTAAGAGAGGCAGAGAGGGAGGAGGCAGAGGTAGTTAACATTATTCTTATATTCCAATGGTATGGCCTGCCTTGGTGAAAAAAACAAAAACAAACTCAAAAGCCTGTTGCTTTGGACAATTGCTGTTGTCTGTGATAACTTAGCAGAAGATGAAGGAAGAAGACACCCATAACAAGAAACTGAAGAAGTAATAAAACCTCTTGTTACAGAGCAAAAAAGAAGGTAACTTGGTTTTTCTTAATCAATTGATATGTACATGGATGCCAATGGCGACTACCAAGATGGTGATGATGCAGAAGTAAATGATAGCATGGACCAGAATGGCTATCCCGCTCGTGCTGAGGTTCCCAAACTCCACCACCCTTGTTCTTGCAGGTAGCTGGAACAGGAGCCCGGGCGATAGCAGGATGAACAACGCCACCGCCACAATCACTGGTCCCCAATCCGCACCCCCCATGTTGGGGATCCCTAATATGCCCGTCGTTGCTTGCTTGTCAATCAACCTTGCAGAAGAATGCTGCCTGAACCCTTCTGGTATATCTCACTCTCTCAACCTCTTTCCGGTAAGGAAGAATAATGAAATGTTTAAGGGGTAATGTTGTTTGTGTCAAATATGTAGGGAACTGAGGAGATGAACAGAAGCAAGTAATGTGTCTTCCTTGGTGATTAAGGAGGCTGTGGAGGGGATACGAGACTTTGTTTGAAAGCAGAGTGAAAAACAATGGAGGGGGAAGGTATATGTGTGTATGTAGAGAGATTTTGTAGTGGGATTCCTTTAAAGCAGCAAAAGAGAAAAAGGATGAAACTTTAGTGTCTCAATTACACCAGATATTGTTAATTTGAAGACTGGCTTTTCTGTCTTTCTTTGCTTCTTTGTGATTGCTTTAGGAGTTGATGGAGAAGGGTGGCTTTATTAAAGGGAATATGGCTACAAAGAAAGAAAGAAAGAAAGAAGCCAGCTTGTGAAATGTGCAGAGCAGCAGTGGTGTAAAGTTCATCGTCCAGGAAGGTGTGAGTTTCTGAATTTGCTTCATTGTCTGGAATTTTGTAGGGATTTCTCAGTTTCCTCTTTGAATTTTGAATCTTTTTTCTGTGAGCAGGCTTAAAAGTCTTTAGCTTTGAAGGGTTCTGTTGGAAATGTGTATGAATAGCTTTGAAAGCTATAGAGTCTCAAGTGGAAAAACTACCACATTGGTAGTTTTACTTGGTGAAGTGATTATAAAGATAGGAGCCTCTCTCCTAAGGGCATGCCCCTTGGGGTGACCCACTTTTGTGGGAGAGGGAGGACCTAACGGACCACCACACACGCGCGCGCCGTCCGTCCGACCGGCCGGTCGGTTGGTTGGTTGGATGGATGGATGGATCACTTGAGACTATATACATATTTTTTGGAGAAATTCCGAACGAAATTAATTATTTAATAATTAATTATTAATCGGTTACTCTGAGGAATATTCCAAGGGATAATCGATTGAAAAGGAATATTCGAAGGATATCTCCGCAGGATTTATCCTAACCGACGGTTTTAATTAAGGAAGTAATTATCTTCCTTAATTAATCCGACTTATTCCCCAAGCAAGAGGGTATATTCCTAGGGGTTCGGTTCCTATAAATAGCCGCCTCCCCAGCCCCTCTAAACACAACAACAACGAGCATAAACACAATAGAGAGAGTGTTCAGAGAGCTCCGGTTTTCGCACAAAACCGCGAGTACACAGAGGAGCTGTTTTATCCTGGAGACGACCGGTTGATAGTCTGCCGTGCGCATCGAGGGCAGTGCCGCGAACGTCTTAAAGAAAGCGACCTAGTCCGCGACTCAGCTCCAGATTCGGTATCCTCATCTTGTTGTTGTTCCGTTTCTAACAATTTTAAGACGTTCGGCTGCTGCTATGTCGACTGAACAGAACAACATGGCCGGATCTGGTGCTGTCGATATCAATCGACCGTTTCGCTTCGTTGGAGTCAACTTTCGTCGCTGGAAACAAAAGATGGAGTTTTACCTGACGACCAAGAAGTTGGCACATTGCCTCACTAGCATGCCCGTCGAGCTGCCGGAAGAAGCGACCGATGAGGAGAGGACTGCTGCTGCTAAGGAAAGGGAGCATGACTTCCTATGCAAGGGCTACATCCTCAACGGCCTGGCAGACGACCTCTACGACTACTATGCGGACAGCAAGAACACCGCAATGATGGTCTGGGATGCGCTCCAAAAGAAGTACGACACGGAGGAGGCTGGAGCTAAGAAGTATGCTGTCAGCCGCTACCTGCGCTATCAGATGGTGGATGACAAGTCTGTCGAAGTTCAGTCCCACGAACTTCAGAAAATAGCTCACGAGATCGTCTCTGAAGGTATGCCTCTGGACGATCAATTTCAAGTTGCTTGCATTATTGATAAGCTGCCCCCTTCGTGGAAAGATTTTAAGAATATGCTTAGATATAAAACCAAAGAATTTTCACTGGAAAGTTTGATTACTCGCCTAAGGATTGAGGAAGAGTCCCGCAAGCAGGATATGAAAGAAGAGGTGATGGTCGTCACTGCTAAACGACCCACCCCTAGAGCTCTTAAACCTAACCAGAAAGGGTTTAAGGGTAAGAACCAGCAGGTCCGCCCCCACCAGAATGGTGCCTCTCGAGGTAACCAAAGGGTCATGGCCCAAACCTCTAAGAATGACCCACCGTTTATCTGCTTTAACTGCGGAAAACCGGGTCATATGGCAAAAAAGTGCAGGAACAAGCATAACCCCGCCGCTGCGGCCAGGGTTAACTTGACAGAAGAGGATTTGGTAGCCATGATCACAGATATGATTGCTGAAGTTAACCTCACCGGTGACTCAGAAGGATGGTGGCTGGATACAGGTGCATCGAAGCATGTATGCAACAATCGTGCTATGTTTAAAACATACGAAGAAGCACCTGCTGACAAGAAAGTGTTGTTGGGGACTACTCACACCACTATGGTTGCTGGTTCTGGTGAAGTGGAGCTGAACTTCACCTCTGGGAAGAAGATGGTGCTTAAGGATGTGTTGCACACTCCAGAGATAAGGAAGAATCTTGTTTCGGGATATCTTCTTAATAAGGCTGGGTTTAATCAATCTATTGGGGCAGACTTGTATACCCTTACTAAGAATGGGAGTTTTGTGGGAAAGGGATATGCATGTAATGGGATGTTCAAATTGAATGTCGAAATTAATAAGATGAATTCTTCAGTTTACATGGTGTGTGATTTGAATGTTTGGCATGCTCGTCTTTGTCATGTGAACACACGAATTGTGAAGAATTTAAGCAAGCTAGGGCATATCCCTAAACTCTCAATGAATGAATTTGATAAATGTGATTTCTGTAGCCAAGCTAAAATAACGAAAACGCCCCATAAATCTGTGAGTAGAGAATCAGAACCCTTAGATCTGATTCATTCTGATATTTGTGAACTAGATGGGACGTTAACTAGGTCTGGCAAGAGATACTTTATCACTTTCATAGATGATTGCTCTGATTATTGCTTTGTTTATTTGATGAAAAACAAAAGTGAAGCCCTTGACATGTTCAAGGTATTTGTGGTTGAATTCGAAAATCAGTGCAATCGAAAGATAAAAAGACTTAGGAGCGATAGAGGATCAGAGTATGACTCTAATCCCTTCAAGGAATTCTATAGCTCACATGGTATCATTCATGAAACCACGGCACCATATTCACCAGAGATGAATGGTAAAGCTGAGCGGAAAAATAGGACATTTACAGAATTAGTTGTGGCTATTATGCTCAATTCTGGAGCTGCTTCTTCTTGGTGGGGTGATATTTTGTTGACGGTTTGCTATGTGCTAAATCGTCTTCCAAAAACAAATAGAAAAGAATCACCCTATGAGATCTTGAAGAATAAGCCACCTAATCTGTCCTATTTAAGAACGTGGGGCTGTTTGGCCTACGTAAGAATTCCTGATCCTAAGAGGGTTAAGTTGGCTAGTCGAGCATATGAATGTGTCTTCGTTGGCTATGCGGCCAATAGTAAGGCATATAGATTCTATGATTTGAATGCTCGTACAGTAATAGAATCCATTGATGCTGATTTCTTTGAGACACGATTTCCATTTAAAACGAGAAATAGTGGGGGTAATGTACTACCCGCTATTAGAGATAACGGAACAAGTGGGGGTGTTGGATCTGAGGATGAACTCAGAAGAAGTAAAAGAGCTAGAATCTCTAAAGATTTTGGTGATGACTTTACTACAGTATACACCCTAGAGGATCCAAAAAGTTTGCAGGAAGCACTAACTTCCATAGATGCAGACTTTTGGAATGAGGCCGTTATAGATGAAATGGAATCGTTAGAGGCTAATAAGACTTGGCATCTAACAGACTTACCTCCTGGCTGCAAAGTCTTAGGTAATAAATGGGTTCTAAAAACGAAACGGAAACCTGATGGTGCAATCGAAAGGTTCCGAGCTCGCCTAGTAGTCAAGGGCTACAGGCAGAGAGAGAATATAGATTTCTTCGACACCTATTCACCAGTATCTAGAATAACATCCATTCGTGTCATGATTGCTCTTGCTGCCTTGAACAATCTCGTGGTACACCAAATGGATGTTAAGACTGCTTTTTTGAACGGTGATCTAGATGAAGAAATCTATATGGAACAACCAGAAGGGTTTGTTATCCCTGAACATGCCTCGAAAGTCTGTAAGTTGGACAAATCACTATATGGCTTGAAACAGGCTCCAAAACAGTGGCATGAGAAGTTTGACACTCTCGTTCTCTCACATGGCTTTAAGGTGAATGAAAGTGACAAGTGTATTTACTGCAAGACAGAGAATAGCACTTGCACTATCATATGTTTGTATGTAGATGACATGTTGATATTTGGTACAAATATTCACGTGGTCAATGAAGCGAAAGCCATGTTAAAAGAGAGCTTTGAGGTGAAAGATCTGGGAGAAGCAAAGTTTATGCTTGGAATCCAGATAACTAGAACAGCAAATGGTTATTCTCTAGATCAATCTAGTTACATAGAGAAGATCTTGAAGAAGTATAACTATTTCGACTGTAAACCTGCGTGTACTCCGTATGATGCTAGTGTAAAGCTATTCAAGAACACTGGAGACAGTGTAAGACAAACAGAATATGCTAGCATCATTGGCAGTCTCCGTTATGCTGCGGATTACACTCGACCAGACATTGCATATGTCGTGGGATTGCTTGGCAGGTTTAACAGCTGTCCTAGTAGAGAGCATTGGAATGCTATAGAGAGGGTCATGAGATACCTCAAGAGAACAGCAAACCTTGGTATACACTATCAAAGGTTTCCCGCTGTACTAGAAGGGTATAGTGATGCGGATTGGAATACCCTATCAGATGACTCCAAGGCAACCAGCGGATATGTTTTTAACATCGCTGGTGGAGCTGTGTCTTGGAAGTCAAAGAAACAAACAATCCTAGCTCAATCAACTATGGAATCAGAGATGAT